CGGCCCTTCCACTCTAATGCTGAGCACTGTATGAGACCCACTGCTGGGTTCAACTGACTGAGCGCTTGACCTAATGCAATAAAATGAGAGAGTAGCTGCTACCCCCTCAACAGCTTCAGCACGTCCTCTCAAATTGTCCTGTGTCTGCGTAAACCTGGATGTCAGGCTCGTAGATCACAGCAGAGCACAACTGGGGAAGAAGGAAGCAGCTATGGAGCTTGGAGAGCTGAGTTCTTGGGCTGAAGGCAGGAGTTGGATTTAAAACAAGGGTAAAATAACCCTTACTGACAAATACTTTAAATACAGAAATCCATCCTTTCAAGAACACTGAGCTACTGCCTGGTTTCCTCATTTTCTTTTCCAACCCCTTTGGAAAAGAAAGTTTATAGGTTGACATCAAGAACAAACGCTAGAAACGACACTGCACTAGTAATCTGAACACAACTGCTATCAATCATCTCCTCCTCTGCACAGCCTACCAGCGTTACTGTGCTCCTGACTTGGGCTGGTTTTCAGCAGTGCTGTCCTACAGATGCTCTTTCTTCCCATTCAGCGGGCAGAGCTCACAAATTTGAAACTCAAAATGAGCTTCCTCTGTATCTCTCTGGCCTTACCCTACAGGAGAGTCTTCGTAGTTTTGAAGATTGCAGGTGCTTCCCAGCATAAACAGCTTCTTCAGCTTAAAGACATCTGAGGAATTGCTGCATTTTTTCTTGGGTTTATTAACCAGACATTTAATGTTCATTGTATAATATAAAATATGGGAACAAAACAGAGGTTGAACAAAAAAAAAAGTATTTTTTTTCTCTCCAGTAGCTGCTTTAATATGTTGTACAACATACACGATCCATTCTTTTTTATTAAAAATATAATGATACACTAATTATTCAAAGTGCAAATTATTCAAACACATATATGAAAAGTTGTTAATGTATTTGCTGGACCTCTTTGCTTTATCAATCAATATGTAATTAAAAAAAAATCTTCCCTTGAAAATATGACTATTATGTGGAAAAAAAGAAAACCTATAAAACATTTTTACAAACATCTACAACACTGTAGAAAATGGCATGAAACCTTTTAAACCTTCAAAGTCTCTCCAGCAAATTACATTTTTCACAAATTATATTCTAATTGTTTAAATAATCTGAAGGATTTTTTTTTTAAGGAGACAGCTCTTTTTAAAGCAGAAGTAATCGAATCTCAAATAAAAGGACAGAATGGTACACATCAAATGAACATGAAATCACTGCCTAAATTATCCCCATCTTTTATGCTGCATATGAGAAATTTCCCACGCAGAGAGTCATAATGAGAGGTTTCTTAAGGATACTGAACCTTTAACTTCTGGTTGAAAAGAGTTTTCCAATGTATGCTTTAAGTATGAAACTCCAAGACATTAATTTTTTAAAACTGCTGCAAATTAAGCACCAGAATGTAAGTTTTAAAAAAAATAGCCCCACCAAGCATTCAACCAATATTTTCTTTTCTTCTTTATATATGGGGCATCAGCTGTCATCCTGCCACACGCTGCATTTACAGTAACTGTGCACATATCTGCTCAGTCTATTATAGGCCCGTTTGTATGTTATAAAATGCACTAACTTAAAGCATATGTTTAATGTTTCACTCATGGTCTGACAGTCTTAAGTATCATGTTGGAGAAGTGTAACAAGGCAAATACTGGAGTGAAATGGGATAACTAAAGAGGACTGAAGTGAGTATTATCTGATTACATAGAAATATTCCACTGGGTGTTTCTTGCAGAGAAAATGCTTACCAAATCAACCTTTCAAAATCCACGTGACACGTTCAAGCTGTATTATTCAAAAAAATTAAGGCTACTAAAGGCATAAACATAATCCAGAGATAAGTATAAAATCCAGTGAAGAATTTGCCTATTGCGCATTACTAAGACTTGAAGCATTTCTGTAAAGCACGATTCTAAAGATGTGCTCTTATCACAGGCAATTTTAAATAACCCATATGTGGGAGCAATGTCAGTCCACACAAAACATGCTTCATTTTTCGTATCATTTATTCAGTTATTTGGCAGTGTGCAAATATTACAAAACTGCTGGAGACGGTCGATGATCACCGAGTGGGTGATGGAGATTCGCCCACTTTGTGCAAACTGCGTTACCTTCTGCAGTTATAGACAATCAGATGGAGCGACTGCATCAAGGTGTTCTTAAAAGAATTTGTGCTAATAGCCAATCTGTTTTGGAAACAGGAAGCCTAAGCAACAGTGTATTTAAGATACTGGATTTCAATTTAATAAATTGTCAATTTTCAAATATGAAAACTGAAAGAACTTTTTGACTGCCAGTGTCCCATTAGATCAAGTTATGTGAGCACATATTTATAAAATTACAGTAAACACCATCAATAGAATCCATTAAGAATTTTATTATTTTATTTCAAATTCTAAACAGAATCGCAATGATTAAAACTGAGTGGAAACAACTTGCAGGTACTGACTTTTAGAGAAGGAAAATAAAAATCAAGAAATTAGGAAAGATACTCTGTACTGCTTCAAAAATCAAGTACCTGGGGATTGTCTCTTCTTTTCCTTTCACTTAAAGCTTTTAAATAACTTTATAAGTTATAAAATATTTGACTTCATATTGAAGAATGTTAACAACAACAGTATCAATGTAATATTCACATCTTCCATTCGGTCTTCCACAGAAAACTCCTGAGCTGTCACCGTGGCTGTTTACAGGTGATGCTAAAGTTCATCGTGCTTAAAACCTGTAACCAAAAATAAAAACAATTATGTAAGAGATAATGACCAGTTTTGTTTATGTCTGAGAAATTCAGCCTCCTCTGAAAGGAGTTAGGAACAAAATATACCAGTTTGCCCATGAAGATGCTCCGTTATCTCTCACGTGAGAAGCTGTAGCATTCCCACGTGTTGCAGCAGAGATCTGCCTGTTTCTATCCCGGTGAGAACAGGCCCGTTCGTGGCCACATTATAATAAATGTACCAGGAAACTCCAGCTCAGAGAAGCGCTGCGGCCTTCCCACCACCTTTTCCCAGCGACTCCTGTCTAGAAACAGGAGTCCCAGTTTTGGTGCTCTCAGTCCCCCCGCTCTGGTCTGGGGGACATGAAGAGGAAAAGGGCCCAAGTGCAGCTGGTTTGGGGGCTCTGAGCAGAGCACACGGGCACGTGGGGTGACAGGAAGGAAAACGGGACTGGAGCCTGATACAGGCCAGGAAACCTGGAACCTGTGGCTGAAAACAGAAAAACTACTGGAAAAAGAGACAGTGACAAGGATATTTCTGGAGTGGACGAGTAACAGAGGGGCTTCGCTGTCTGGGACTGTGAAACTGTGATAAAGTGAAGGGGACAACTCAGCCCACACAGGGAAGGGAAGCTGAGACAAACCTGCAGGTATCAACTATCATCATCCCATTTACCTGCGAGGTTCAATACTTGGCAGTTCTTGGTGTTGTATTTTACAAATCTCTCACATTTTATAAACAGAATATGCACAGGGCTAATAGTACAGAGAAATGTGAATTAGAATAGCAAACTACCAGTTATCACACTAGGGAATTACACAAGGGGCTTTCAAGCAAGTTTCAGGTAAAAAGATTATATACTATAAGTAAGTAAATAAATACAGAAAAACTTTCTGTGAACTAACAGATCTTTATATTTCAAACAGAGACTCCGTAACCTACTGCTTAGCAGCCTGCTTGAGTTGAAACACATTGGGTTAAGGCCTCACAGAATGCAAAGCTCATGTGCTTTACAGTTAATACTTGGTGACCAAATCACATGGAATAGTTGGTTGTGTTTGTTGTCTATAAATACAACATGACAAGAATTTGTTCTCTTGGATTTTGGCATGAAACAAAATATTTTATACTCTTAATGTAACTCCTGTGTAGAAAAGCATCATATGTCTTCTAAAAAAAAAATTCTCTAAGAGCAGGGAAAATAACATGAATACAATAATAAAACATTAGTACTGTCTACTATCTTCATTTCAATCGTATTAGTAACTATTTTAAAGTGGTAACAGATGAATATGCATATAAATCACCTTTTTGAAAGAATGATGTTCCATTTTTATTCTCTGCTTCGATTTTTTCTATTAACTTCCGTATCTCAGAGTCATACTCAACCCACTCAGGAACTATCCTGGCAGCAGCCTGTAACTTGGGTTCTTTGGTTTGGGGATTGTTGCACTGAAAGTTTAAAACACATTATGGGTAAATAAAACAAATGTGAAAACAGCACCTTTCCGAGAAACCGTAAGCGAATCAGCGTCAGTGAGGACAAGCTGCAGACATGATAAAAGGTATTTTTCAGTAGCTTAAAGATACTGGAAGATGGCCTAGAAATTCATTTTAATCTATCACTTTCTAGGAAAGTGCCCATGTATGGGACACAAAAAAAACCTCACCTTATTTTAAAAATTGTCAAGTCAGAAAGAAAACAAGATAAACTATCTAGACACTTAATTTGTGTAGAGGATTCTAATTTTTTTCCCCAGTATTTCTGGCTCTGAGTATCACATCACACTGACTGGGGACTGTTAAAAGAACTAGTATGCAGGGGGGGGGGAAAATGTCAGAGCAGAACTTTTTTTTTTTGGTACAGTTTTCAGCTCGAACATAAGAAAATTTGGTCACACACAGCATGAGGGAGAGGTCTCAGGAAAGGAGAAAACCTACTTCATGTACCTGCATTCATGCATTTAGCTAAATGGATCTTGTGTCCCAGTGAGGCTGACTCCATGATATCACATCTGTAAATCTCAAAGGTCACAGCAATTATAGCCAATATTTTAATCTATAAAAGTCACTAAACTTAGAATCAACTCACCAAGTCTATTGTTTTAGCCTTTTTCTTGGATTCATCATCACACCAGGTCTCACACCAAAGCCATTCCTGAGGGAGAGACTTAATAGCTACTTGATGAATCATATTATTGGGCAGATCCTGCACAGATTTGTAAAACCACAAGTTAGCCCTGGATTTTGATGTAAGGGATTATCAAGAGCTGAACTGCAGTCCAATTTCTTAAAGGAGACTCCAGAGAGTATCTATCATCATTTCTGCAAAGTGTCCTTACATTTCCTTCTCCATGCTCATCATGCTCTACATCTTTTTCAAGTAGATTCAAAATGGGCAATACTTTGTGGCCAATTCTACCTCTTATTTCTCAAGTTAATTAATTTTTTCTCATACTTATGTCAAGCCAAGACAGACATAAGTAATAGTACTGTTACGGTATAAGACAGGCGACATCTGAATTAATGTACTGCTTGACAGAATTAAACAGTGTGAAATTATTAAAACATAAATGTAACAACCTTCCTGTCCTCAGATCTGCAAGAACAGGTCAAATGCTGATAACCAAGCATTCTGTCACCACTCTGAATTTAGATTCCTTTTAGGAAAACAGTTTCCTGAAATACAAAGCTGAAAAGGAAAAGCCATTAAGCCACTATTCTGGCTTGCTTACTTCACTTAGATGTTCTTGTTTTGCACCTCTATTATATAGTGAGGTACTCTCAATATAGGAAAGGTTGATGAAAACACTGAATGTATATCCATACATGCTGATGCAGGGAACAGCATTTAAAAATAAATGAAGTTCACAGGCAATCATACACTGCATGCACTCTGGTCACCACTAAGAATAGCACAGGTGTCATTGGTACATTCATACATCAGCTTCTTTGCATGCACAACCCCTATGTTGTACTTTACTTAAAAAATAAATGTCAGCACGTCAAGACATACTAGTCATGTCTTTTTTTTTTTTGTCAATTCACACTATTAAAATGACAGAATAAAACATATATAGATGCATTATAAGTAGCATATAATTTAAATACAGAAATAGAAATACTGAACTATTTTGACTTTAGAACAACAACAACAAAAAAAAGCAGTAACCTGAGAATCAAGCCATTTAAACATTAACGTAAATTTCTGAAAATCTTCAATGAATTTTACACAGATAAAATAAATAGTTTATCATCATCTCAATTCCAAGAAAGAAGAGACCTCCATTCTCTTGCTTTCTAAATGAAATCACAGTTCCTGAGTTAGTAACTAGGTTTTGAATTTACAAAATGTTATATGGAGTAAAAAGCAAAAAAACCCAGCTACTAATTCTAGGGTTTAAAGAAAATAGAAGTAAATATGTTTAGAAAAAATAGATGCTTCTCCTTTCAAAAAAGTGACTTAATGTCAAAAACACTAAAATACATCCAGAAGATGAGGTAGGAAATATCTGTGAGCCAGAAAAAATAATGAACAAGGGTAAAAACAGGTTGCTTTTGTTCTAAGCACCAAAATTCTTCTTCATTCAAAATAAGTAAGTGTCTGAAATGGAGAACTTCATTTGTGCAGTTGTTTCACAAGCAACATTTAAAGGTTGTTCTTCAACAGGTTTCCACACTCGATCAGATAACCTGGATCATTTTAAAGGAGGCCCAAATCTGCCTCAGGTGCCACCCTGCAGGCAGGTTAGGAAAGAGGTGAGGGAGGATGATGATTATCACTAGAAAAGGCCAAAGGTAAAAAAAGCAACTACAAACAAAGGACAACAGTGCAATACAGTCTGGGTACATTTTTCCCCTGCTATTTTTTCCTCAGTGCTCTTCATGTAAGAGGATCATTTAAAGTAGTTCAGTATTCCGTTTTCTAACTGTGCTCATAACACACAGCAAGCGTTCGTGGCAACTAGCTTGAGCATTATTTAATATGTATTTGGGAAAAGCAGAATAATCCAGTGCACCTTGAGAAAAGTAAGAAAACAAAAGACAAAACAGATTGGTGATTGACCCCTCTATACCTGATCTAGATTGGACAGACTGTTTGGATCTTGACTAAGAGCCTGGTACTGGCCCCGGAGCCTGTCTCCTGCCGCAATCTTCCGGAACTTCTTCAGATCCACGACATATAAGGCACTACAGGAAAAAAAAATAGGCAGTTTCACCTTTTTATCGATAACTTTAATGAAATAAATCATGAGAAGCCAATATGGCCTGCATGTTAAAAGAATATAATTTTCTGAAAATAGGTAAAACTATTATAAAAGAAGTGAAGTCAGTGTATCACCTGAATTCATGCCGTAGCTTGAGAGCTATTATCATGCATGTTTTGAATGCCCCAATGATCATAAGCAACATTTTAAACAATGTCACAAACTGCAAAAAATATATAGACGTTTTCCTACCTAATGTGGTATTTCCTTTTCCCAAGATGTGATGCCCAGTATCCCGACTTCCAGAAACGGTACCCGTCCATTTCTCTACGGCTGTCACAGAAAGGAGTGTATCCATAGGGAGCTCCATTTAGATTCAGATCTCTAAGTTCTTTCAAGTCACTTCGCACAATCTAAATAAAAGAAAACCTGCATTTACTTTTATAATTTTTAATGTTTGTAAAGAATGCTGTGACAGAGGCAAGATTTCTGGTGCTTAATTTTATTTTTTTTTAAAAACTAAGAAACTACTCACTATTCCATTAGCATGCAACTTAGTTACTATCCAGTAAAAAAAAAAAGGCAAAAAAGTTTATTCTGTGGCCATCTGTAGATCATATTCAATAAGAAAATTAAAACAACATATTTTTAATTTAATTTACAGCGCAGAGTTTTGGTTGTACAATACTCCTTGATGTATAATTTTCAGAACCTACTGAGCATGTCCCTTCTAAAAAAAATCCCCTTCCTTGTTACATGAACTTGGGCACTCAAAAGATTAAGGCATCAAAACAATTTAACACTTTTTTAAATCTTTAGGCCTCTTCACGATGGCACAAACCCCTCCAGGTGCCTTTGTCTCTTCAGTGCCATTAGAGGCTACTTGGGGCAATTAGGTGGGATGGCACTTTCAGCTGCTGGAGGGCTGAAGACAGGTGAGATGACATGGTCCACATTATGCATCACTACTGCTTCTGCTCACACAGCTGCAGTAGTCTTAGGAGACCAACACTGGGATGCCGCTAACACCAGGAATAAAACTACAGCAATTTAAACCAAAAAAAAAAAAAAGCTTTATGCATTTATACAGTATTACTTTTTCTTACCTGATCAGCATCGACAAATATTATTTTATCCACAGCCAAAGGGAAAAGAACATCCAAAAAAAGAATTTTGTAGCCCCAGATAATTCTTTGCTTTTCTGTCTGTTGATACAACCAGCGGGGCCACTTGTACTGCACTAACTCATACTTGAATCCGTACTTCTTAGCCATGTGAGGGATAACTTCCTAGAAGATCCAGAAAATATTAGTTGCATGTGTATGAGACAAACAAACACTTAAAAGGAAAAGGAGAAAATGTTGTAGAACAGTTGCAGCTCTGTTGACCTTATGAATCGCATGAGTTATTCTGTTAAAATATTTCTTTAGCTCTAGCAGTATCTTCAACTTCATAAATAAAAAAGTATTTCTTTCGAGCTAATAAAAATCTGTCAGAAAATAATGAATTATTATAATATACCACTCAGCTTTGGGTCCCAGAAAAGAAGAACTTTACCCTTGAGAGTTTTAAAAATGTCTATCAGTATTTAATACATTCAGAGACAATTTCCAACTGTGAAAATTTAATTTTATATTACATAATTATTCATCTCTAATAACTTTTATTTAACTATGGAGAATTAATAAGAAAAATTAATGAAGGGAAGGCATTTCTTGTACCTTGAATGTCGGGGAGAGATAGTTTTTCAGAAACCAAAATTTAACAGGTGTTTTTGTATGGCGCAGAACAGAAAGCATCATTATTCTGTGAAAACATAAGTCTATAATAAACAAACAAATACACGTGTCATGGTATTTCAACTATGCCTAAAAAGGTGCTAAAACTTTCTAATTATCATGTGTGTTATCCCAGTTCAAGCAGCAATTTCTGTTTTTAATAAATGCTTTAAAAAGGGTGTGCATTCAGCACCACTTTGTCAGATTTATTTGATCCACACTGGCTAATCAATATTAGAAGAAATACTTTTAAAAGTTGATCTGCTAATAAGTTTATTTCTAAGACAGATACCTGACAGAATTAGAGTAGTGATTAATACCATCTGTTAACTTGGCTACTGAGATGATTTATTTTAGAATGTTATTGGCTGAGATTAGTGGGTAGCTGAAAAGAAAAACAGTGGGAAAGGGATAGTACAACTCCAGTTAAGAAACTTTGGAGAAACCACAGATAAATGTTAAGAAACTCTAGGTATGTGGAAAAAGATAAATAATGATGTCGAGAAGAAAATAAATAATGAGTCTTTTCCCTTATGAAGGTTGTTGTGGGTAGCTTATGAAAGAATCCTGGAGGAAAGAACAATGAATATTCAAAGTCAGTCAGACCTACAAAGAAATATAGATTAAACGTACAGAATTCCACTTTCTAAATACGGATGCATGAAAGAGTTATGAAATTCCATTTCAGGGTAAGAATATCACTAAATCTGACACCTGTGTAGAAATACAGAAGTCAGAAAAGGAACAGACACACAACTGCGAACAGACCAGACTCCACTGTGAAAGTTCCTTCAAAGCAGTCACTGCCTATTGAATACTTCTCTGAGAGGTATATAGGTGTCATATATGTGTATATATTAGTATTCACAGTTTGGACCAGACATGAGCAGAGAGAACTCTAAAGAAATCAGTAGTGTTGCAAATTCATAGAGCAGCTCTACTTCATCCTCTGTGTTCACACTTAGTCCATGTACTCATGAAAGGCATGAGGAATATTTTCCTTTCACCAAAAAGGAATCATATTCTTAAGCATCTATACGTTCTACCACTTGGTCTTCAGAGAAAGCTGAATTTAGTCCTCACTGTATACAACTTTTCTATGTTTTAACAATCTGTTCTTTATGCTTTTTTAAATAAATTATCTTTTTAAAGCAATTTAATTTTAGCATGAACATCTACAATATTCTCTGAAAATCTTGTTTCCCTTTTCTTACCTTAAAAAACGTTCATATAGATGTCCTGAAGCAACTGAAAAAATATTAAGAATATCACTTCTCTTTTCCATCTCTTCTGTTGGAATTTCTTCTGAAAAACTTAAAGAAAGACACAAAATTGAAACCCAAATTATAAAAATGGACATTCTGCAGAAACAATATATTATGACATTATTATTCAGCTTGTAAAGAATCAAAATACAGAGACTATACAAAGTTAACATCCTACAGTAACTGTATAAAATTATATTCCACTTCCACTGTGCACGCCTGTAGCACTGGAATCTTTTGGGAACACCATCTCACCTTCTGTATCATCAGCACCCAGTCACTCAGGACAAATTATAGAACAGCTGCATTTGTTTTTTTTGTATCAAACAGAATCCAAATTGACAAGTGCTCAGCATTTCAACAAACACAAATAAGAAACACACAAAGCCAAAACATCTTGAGGAATTTTAAAACAGCAATTATTTTTGGAGATTCCCTCGCATGCGCTCCCTTTCACAAGACCCAACACATTTTAGTGAGGATGTCTGCAGGGCCACGTGAGCACAGCAGGGTTTCACGCAGAGGTAGAGCTCAGTGATGCTTGGTGATGCACACTCAAACGCAGAGCAGCCCCCACGCACACGGCTGCACCACGTATGGCCCCAGATTTAGTGACCACTCTCCCGCTCTTTATAGCAGCCGGGTGACCAGGCCAAGAAAGGTCATCTCACTGAAATATTCCCAGAGGGATAACTAACATGTCTCAGAAACACTCCTATGTTCTGATCACAGCTCGGATGCATTAGCGTACTAAAAAACACAGTCTTTTTTTTTTTTTTTTTTTTTTTTTAACAACAAAGATATAACATCCCGTTTTTTGCCATAATTTCATTCTAAAAATGATTTAACAATTTCATGACAATTTTTATTTTTGGAATAAAATTGGATTTCCAATTAAAAAACATCAGCCCAAAACAAACAACAGAATTGTGAGCAACATTATGAGCACCTGGAAACATGCTTAAACATGCTTTGCATAAGAATTTATAATAAAGGCAAACTTTAAAGGAAAAGCTATTTGATTGATAAATATGAAGACATTTCTTGAGCTTTTCTGAAGTATAGAGCAGTATCCTAGCCTGTTTTTCAGCATTCAATTTACTACATCTGACTGCCACATTAGTGGTTGAGATTTTCCTACTGAGATTGATTCCCTGTCACAACAAAATAAAAACAATTTTGATACAGAAAATGAACAACAACTAGAAATGGCAGGGAGAGACAAAAGAAGAAATAACTAATGAGATACACCAGACATTAGTTTGTCTTTTCGACATTTAAGTCTATTATAAATCCCTTGGGATACCACTCAGCCTTTTCTACATATTTTTATTACCATCAATTACAGAACATTTATGCTATTCATAATAATAAACAACTCCTGGCACAGTTTAAGTATAAGCAAATCATTCACTACCTTGTAACTGAGTCCAAATGTCCTTTTTTTTCTGTTATGCCATCAGTGAGGAGCTCTTCATTCATTTTATCAGACTTTTTCTGTACCTATTCATTAAAATAAATGAGTTAATTCATACAATTTGCAAAGTTAGCTGAAAATTATTACTTCACTAGATATATCTAATTCTGGCACTCTTACTGGTTAGCTGGACTACAAGCTTACCAATTTCTATTTCAGTAATTACAGAACTGCACTGAAACAAATTGGTAAAATGTTACCTCACATTTTAAAGTATTTTGTACAGAACTTACTGTAAGGAGAAGCAAAGTAATCAATTACTAGAGACTAAATGGGGATTCCTATCTCAAATAAAATGGCACATTCAAGCCCTCTGTACTTATTCATGCAAAGATGAACTAAAATTACGCTCAATTGTCTCATTTCCCTCTTTGGTGAAAGATGAACTCATGATTTTTTGATCCGACATCAGTTGATAGAGGAAAGGTGGAAAGTGTTGGGAGAAGGGAATTTGCCTGTTCATAGCCTGTTCACAAGAATGAGACAAATCTGTGCCATATAACTTACAGGATTTTGCTGTTTTCCATTGATGCTTACTAAAGGCTCCAAATTAAAAGACTATTATTTTTGAAACTTGAATAGCTTTTAGGATTGGAATTTATTCAATTATACTGATATTATTTTCATTTTTGTATACTGTCAGGTTAATGCAAATATTTCTATTCATGCTAAATCGTGTGTCCTTTTAGCTAATGCTCCTGAAGGCATATCCTACACAGAATGGAGGTGATTCTATAGTTAAAATAAATTTAAATCAGACATAATATAATATATTCTTGTTGTTAGCTTAACATGCATGACCTTATGCTTAAAATAATTATCCTATTTTCGGTCAAATGGTATCCCTTTTCTCTGTGGCTCCACAACCCTCACAGAGGGTTACGTATTTTTTCATGATTCTGGAAACCTTCAGTTATAGGAATGGGAAAAAGACTTAGGAAAAATATGTTTTGTTTAATTTCCTCTTTCTATTTATGTTTACATTGTTTTCTCTCCAATTCAAAGTCTAAAAGCAGGATATAATGTGCCAAGCGTACCTACCCAAAAATCTTTACAAAAAAAAAAAAAAAAAAAGTAGAGAACACACAATCCTGTGAGGTTCTTTCTCCTTAAAATAACTTACTTTTCATTATCTATTTTTAATGCATCATTACATAACAGAATGTCATTTATCTAAATTTGGTGACGCACAGAAGAATTTAGTGGATCTAACTTTAGCTTCCAAAAACTTGAGCATCTCCATTGAACATCCCCACCTCCACCCCCAGTCACTGGAAAGAACTGGGTGGTTCTAGATGGAGGTTCACCCCCTGACTTTCAGTACACACTTAAGACAGGATGAACAGTCCTGTGGTCTGTGTTCCTCGCCAGAACCACAGAACGACGTTAAGGCAACTAGTTCAGACTATGTATTATTGCTTAGACAGATGCATGTATAGTTTAAGCTAGATGAGATGAATCCTATCCATGCTATGCACATTAATGTATATTTTAACAACAATGCAATTATTAACAACTATTTAATGACTTCTCATGCAAGCTGTATAACTTACTAGATTAAAATAACACACATTCCTTCCCTATTTAATTATACAATATCTAAGTAATATACTGCAGTATGCATCTTCCAATTCAACACAGCCTAAGACATGTGAGCATTATTCGTGCTTCATACAAAGAAATAGTGCAGACAGAAAGGATCTCTTTACATACTTGGACTTTGATAATTTTGCTTCTGAAGCTGTTTAATACCACAATAACATCTGCCAGGTCAGCCTCAGAGTCTGTTCCTTCGTGTCTGTGAGGGGAAAAACACCATGCAAACATACTGACTCATTAACACTTGCATTATCACTTGTGCTTAATTACAGCATAAGGTTTTAGGACTGTTGATATTTACTGAAACAGAATTTCTTCCCTGGCACCTAATTATATCTTAACCTTAGAACTTTTCTGAGTTTTATTCATCACTAGACATTGCCCATAGTTGCAGCCCTCACTTTTTAATTTGGATTTTTGACAGGAAATTTCATCAACCACTCCAGAAAAATCAGACAGCTAAAGCTGTATATCATATGGGTATTATGTTTTTAGTATAATAAATACCCATTGCATATACAGCTTTAGCTGTCTGATTTATACTAAAATATATTAAACACATTATACTAAAACAATTAAACATATCAAAATTATTTTTCAAATATGAAAAACATACATACTCCAGAAATTACAACACAACTGTACTAAACCTATTTTTAAAATAAATCTGCTTTAAAGTCTGGGGCGAGCTGCGCCACAGAGCTGAAACCCTGCGACTGCCTTTCAGCTGCCTGGCCCGGGAGAGGCATCGACCCTGCGGCCGCGCGGGCACCTTGGCCTTGCTGAATGCCAGCCTGAAGCCATCCCAAAACTCCATGGCAGCCCACGAGAGAGAACCAGGAAAAATGTTGCCATCGCTCTCTGCTTCAGAGAAGCACACTTGTCAAATCCCATAGTTTCTGTATCTCAAAGCTCATCTGTTTTCCCTTCAATCGTTTTCTTTTTTTTACCAGTCTTAGCTTTTACTTGCTAAGACTAAATACCAGTCTCAAAGCACTTTGCTACCCCCTTAGTTTTTTTCCTTGGAAAAGAGAACTATTCAAATTTTGCTTCATTATATTCCATGATACTTACCTAAAAATAACAGGATTTCATATATTTACACACTTTTTCTATTTAATTATTTTTTTTGTACAACATGCCTACCATTTCTGAGTTTCAAGGAGATGGCTGATTCTTACACAACATTATCTCGACCTCTCCGGTCTCTGATTTAATTATATTTTCACGCTTTTAAAATATCACATATACGAACACTGTGGCCAAGAACGTCTTTTTATCACAGTGAAATACAGTACTAAAGCCAAAAAGGCAAAGATCTCAGTTTTAAATAAACTATGTGATAAAAAGCTGTATAAATGGTAAAATCAGAGCCAGACACAAATTGCTTTTTGCAAGGCAAGCAGCTGTCAGAAGTGCTCTCATTTTTATTATCATTTTTCCACCTTTTTTTTTTACCGTTCACCAATTTACCTGAAAATCTCTGTAGTTCTAAGCATGAATATAATTTTCCAACGCTTTAAAAATATTTTCTAAAAACATTTTGTTTGGCCATAAATTTAATAACTTAGCGATTGAACAGTTTAATTTTGTGACTGAACAGCTTAAGGCGTCTCCCTCAATCTCTTCATTGGATCCCAGATTGTCATATCCATCAACTCTGTTTTCACTCAGTTTGATGGATTTCCAGCCTAACAGGAACAATGTAATGAAGACAATGATAATTACATTAGCTACCCTGGATAGTTAATCCTGGTCTCCAGATATATTTTTTCCAGGTCCAATCTTTTTCTCCAAACACATCTTTGTATTCCTCCGACTATCACCTTATGGTAACAGCTTTTCCTGACCAACTCTTGTCTCTTTATTTACACAGCCTACATAACATATATCCACTTTGTTGTTGTTGTTGTTTTTCAAAATCAAAATTCAGTACGAGCTTATATACATGCTCTTACTATAAACAAATTTTGCTACATCTTGATTTTTGTGATACTTACCTAAATTTTCCTACCAACACTACAGAGTCAAGCTCAAATAATATGTAGATCTCGGACTGAAATACTGTGGCAGACTCTACAAATTTTGATATTCCTATCAAGTGATTTATTAATTACAAATGCATCTACAAGTGTAATTGCTTCAAATGAATGATCTTTGTTATAAGTAGTGTTTGGAAAAAAAAAACTTACTCCAAAAGCTATTTACATAGACAATTAATAAATTACCTATTACTTGCTAAAATGAGAGAAGCGACATATGCCTTGAGGTGTGATACATGCTGGAACTTCATAATCCTATTTTACCCCTAAAACTTCTATGACAAAGTAGGCGCCGATGCTTCAAAGAGAACAGTTTAGCTTACAATGTAATGGGAGGGTATTACTTGTATAGAAGAACAGGGAATATCTTAATATCCTGCCTCTTGGCTAACATTAAATAGTTGCTTGAGTTCTGATAACATTTTGATATTACTAAGATCATTATTAACACAACTCCCAGATATAGCTTAGCTGTTACACTATAGTTTGTAATACTCAAATGAAATAAATGTAATTGTTTACATTCCTCATCAGGTATTAATTTTATATAACTTAGCTGAGCTCATTTCAACCTTATTGGTATTCCTTCTTAAAGAAAAACTGCAGTCCTACAAAACTTACAAAAATCGCTTTGATTAAACCTAGAAAGTTGAAGTGTTTTTTTTCCATTTTGTTTAATTTTTCTGGTCAACAATAGCTTCCTTGCTGCATTTCTATCCATCATATCTTTTATAAGTCATTTAATAAACTTTAAAAAAGAAAAAAAAAAAAAAAAAGGATGTTGAAAGAAAGCAATGTTATTTTTCTAGAAGAAACCAGATCCCAAACTTCAAGAGGAAGAATAGTAAGTTACAGATCTATGCTGTCAGATAAAACATAAAAAAAGAGTATTCTTCCAAGGAATATCTGGAAGTACAGCTAGCACATGTTCCTTTTGAAAACTGACCATAGAAATTACGGATCTATAAGTCCCATAGGTGGCACCTACATGCTGGCTACTGAAGTACAGTATCACTTCTCTTTCCACGCACAGGAGTTTCTTCCAAGAGCAGTGGTGCAGTCGAAACACAGTCAGGGTGCAGAGTCAGTCCAAGTCCCTTCTAAGTCACTGAGCTACAACCACAGTGATTCTTAGATGATTAAGAATTATGCTGATTTGATTGAGCAAAATTGCCTAAATGCTACTCTTCAGGAGGGATACTACCCATCAATAATTCTGCATTCAGTGGCACCCCCAGGGTTGAAAAATTGTGAGAGGGAAGTTGGTGGGACTTGCTCAAGCTGATCCACACACTGCGGGAGAGCTACCTATGCCACACTATAGACAGACTGGTGAATCCACACAGCAGGTAAATCAAAATAACAATCAACAAAGCTGTCAGTGACATCTCTACAGAACTGAGTGCAGATGGTTGCATGGTAATGCTAACCAGGCTCTGAACTACCTCACTGATAATTTTGGAAGCTCTGGATATTAAGAAAACATCCTCACAAAACCACTAGTGAAAACAACAATCAAACAGTCTACTCAGAACCAGAACCCGATTTAAAACAGTTTCAGGCCAGAATCATTGGTAAAATTTCACAGATAAAGCAAGTCTGGTCTTGGAACTTCAGCATTTGTGATTCCAGTCAGAAATAAAATTTTGCTATAGTAGTTAGAATATCAGGAATAGAGTTTAACTCCTATCACATATGGCCCATTTTATTTGCAGGTTCTCAATATACACATGTAATTCTAGACCACTGTCAGAGAGATGGTCTTTATTTTTCCCCTTAATTTACAGAAATATAGTAAAATCTGTAGCTACTGAGCTCCACATTACCAAAAATCCCCCTGAAAACGGAGACTTGCAATGTTAGTTTTAGAAGAATTTTACAGTTCTTCCCACTTACTCTTCTAGCAAGTAGAGGCATTTCATATCAACTTTAAATGATCACTTGCTTCTTGTTTTACTGTTCCATGCTTTTTTTGTTCCACGCATTTTTTTTTCCTTTGCTTCAGTAATCTCAAATTGTTTTAAAAGTGTGGTGCATTTCAACCAACTCATTTATAAGATATATGCATATCTTCTAAAGACAGATTACAACTTACGAAAAAACATGATAAATCTCTTCAGATCTTCCTTTACGCAATCTCAGTGTCCAAGCACCTGGATTTGCTTTCAGCTGAAAATATCCCTATGAAAAAAAGGAAACAGAAAAAGAAGTTGTTAGTTCTTCAGAATCAGTCATGTACACATGCAAACATCAATTATCCAATAGTTAGCACTGTAGCCAAGTTATTAACCTAATGCCATGGCACTGCCTTGAAAGAGATGCAGCCAAGTAATCATCTTTCCTTTGTGTCCATATTAAATGTCTCTAAGTGCTCCACTGTTTCTAACTGAACTTGAGACATCTACAGAATCTCCATCTACGACAACATGTAAGCGAGTAATAAAGCAATTAACTATTAAACAGATCAGGATGAAGAGTTTGTTTGAAACTTAAAATTTTTGTCTGGAGCAACTTCCCCAGTCAATACAACTCCTTCCCAATTTAGCATCACTGCACACGACTATGGTACGTGAATCCCAGACAAGGCAAGGGATGGAATGTGAAGAAACTTAAGAGTTTCATCATGCTGAACACCTTCTAGTATTGAGAAGGTAATCGTATTTGTGGAAAAGCTAATGATTCACATTTTGTCAAACATTTTTTCTTATTACACAGTTTTCAAATGGGAATTGTCATCAGAATTGGAGAAAATATCTCACTGCACAGCATCCATAAGAGCAAAAAATATTGGTTCAATGTCTAAGCTCTTATGCAGAATCAGATATTCCAGACCGGGAGCTAAAGGCAGAAAGGTTGTAACTAAACAGTATTTTCAAAGTGATTGTAAATAGTGAAGTTTTTCTTTCAAAAAAACAGTGCTGTCAGAGATTTGTATTCACTGGAAAATGCCTAGAATTGCAGCCAGCACAGGCAATCATGTCAAAACAAGGAATGTCTCACTCTGAGTAAATACATTTGTTCAACTATTCATTATCATTTTGGTTGTTGCAGCTGTAGTGATGGGTTGGTCAAGCAGCACATATACAATAGCTAAAATGCAGTGAATATGACAGAATTCACAGGCACATAGTGATCTGTTATGCTAAAGCTTTTTCTTTGTTTTCTTCTTTCCTTTTCCTTTTTTTTTCTTCCCCCAAAAGCTGATTAACTGGGCTGGAGCTGCATTTTTCACCAAGATTTTTCCTACTCAACCCCATTTTTTAATCTCTTTTACCCCCAAAACTGTTTGATCATGCTGTGCCATTGCTTATGATTCCTATCTTTTACCTCGTGCAAGAATGGAAAGCAAAGTTTTCAGTAACTCTTAAGAAACGCGTATTTCACACAGAACCCAATTTCATACAAAACCAAAGGGAAACAAATTTAACTCTTGTAAGTCCTAATCCCAATACAGATCGTTTTTTTTTTCCAGAAAAAATGTAGCACACCTTAGTGTTAGCTGGGGAATCTCACACTACCACAGAATCCCAGAATGGTTGAGGTTGGAAGGGACCTCTAGAGATCACCTAGCCCAACCCCTCTGCTCAAGCAGGGTCACCCAGAGCACGTGGCACAGAGTGGCATCCAGCTCTTGCATGGAGCTTCTGAAATGTATATTTACAGGCTGTGTATTTCTGAACAAGACACAAGCACGGGTCTACTGTCTGTGCTATATTATCAGGCTACTAACAACAAAAGCCATTACTTTGAATTACCAGAGGAATTCTCAGGTGGGGATTTGTCCCACTGATGCCTTAAGCATTTAACTGAGGCAACCAAAATAGCTGCTTTCTTTTCCTGGACCCTTGCATGACAAAAAAGGCTGAATTAAACTGAATATAATTCATATTTTATGTTTGTTGGTGGAACCTCTGTCTGAAGATAACCAGCTTCTATCACCAACTTAAGGCAACTAGACTGCTAGTTTAGTCACTTCATTTAAGGGCCTAAAACTAGGTCAAACTTAAACCTATTTCAGATCAGAACAGGAAAAAAAACTGCAAAAATTAAAGATGTACTTTTTCTTTTGTAAATGATCTTAATTCTGGAATAACTCATGTTACCTTTAACATTTCTAATTGGCAAAATAGAGGAACAGATTTAAAGAAGAAGAATCTCAAAGAATTTTCATGAAGACTGGGCATTTGGAGTGACTATTTCTGTACTTAACACTTACCAGATTGGCCATCACTATAGTATCGACTATGACAGGATTATTCTTTGTGCCCAAAGTGAACTGTAACCCCCGAGGAGGTTGTCCGGTCGTCACATCAAAGCAGTGTCCTTCGAGCAATATATTTTCTAGTTCATATTCTGCTATAACGTTCCCTTTTATCTGTGGGAGGAACATTTAATCACTAAAACACATATTTTAACTAAGTGAGAGAGCAATGTATTACAGCCACAGACATTCTGAGTAGAATTTATCTCAATTCACCTAAATTATCGAGAAGAGAAATTTTCCAGGGAGAAATTCACTCATTTTTATAACTTGCACCCAAGATAGAAAGGACCAACCACTCTGTATGTGAGTGCCTCCCTCTCTACATTAACTATGAGACTCCCTGCTTTGGTAAATCCTATCCTTTGATTTTACAGTACACTAAGTGTACACTTTTGATGGACTAAATACTTTCAATATTTTGCATAAGTTTTGAGACTGGAACAAATTTAGTGACTTTGAAGCTGAAGAAGTTAAAATACAATAGAAAAAATTCTGTACTATAAAAGGTCAAATGTATTTTAATGTGTACTAAAATGCAACAATATATTTAGATTTATTTGGAAATATACCTCGACTAACAGTATTACTATCAAAAATTAAAAATTAAAATATTTTAAAAATTCAAAGGAAACAAAGAACTATCACAGGGCACACTTTAATTGCTCAAAAAGCGAGTAATTTCATATACATTCTAAAACTCAACACAGAAGATAAGTTGGGCTGCTTCTGTTTCCTGATGTTTATTATTTCATTGCTTTTCTTTGAGAATTATTTTTAGAAGAGTTAATGTGAAGAAAGACAATGAAATTAAAAAAAACAGACTGTCCAAACAGTCAATTACCATAGTAAGTACTTCTGGAAAGCAGAGACAAAAATCTCCAAAGATTTCCTTTTCCTTTTTGATGTAAGGATCCAAGGAAGTTTTACGATGCTTACAAATTGCTACTTACATCCTGCAAGTGGATGTTATCAAGATCACAGGAACTGTTCACTGCTTCAACCAACCAGCTCTCAGGAGTGATCATATTTAAAGTCAAAAGGGGTGACTCTAGCAATTCTAGGAACTTGGCCACAGGTTCAGATGGAAGGTGGTTGTTGATTCCATAAGTTAATTCTGGCTCCAGAACAAACCGATAGAAGCTGTTCAAAACAGAAGTGTTCAAAAACACACATTTATTGAAGTATGAAGGCTGAGTTCCAAGTATGAAGTCTTTCAAAAGTATTTTTAATTATATTGAACATTTAACAAACTAATAATAATTTGGGGGCATGGTGCTTCCTTGTTTTTGAGGCATACAGTCAAATAATACCTTTAGCTCAAATACAGTAACAATTAATGAGTACTTCATATGGGAAAAAAACAAACAAACAAAAAAACCCACAAATTCAAACCATCCACAAGGTAGAGACCAGAGCATTTCTTCTTTCCACATTTCCCAAGCCCACAGAAAGAACCAGGCATTAAAAGCTAGCCACGTGGCTCAAACTGCTTTAGTAATATTGACTACATACTTAAATAACTACTACAACAAATAAATTAGAATTATAAGCCACTGCTGGTTTTTAAGGGAATATCTGTTGTTAAGGCTTTGTTTTTCTAAACCAAGAGAGATCACATACTCGTGAGGGCAGCTCTAATCTACTTACCTCTTCAGTGGCACTTCGGACAGCTTAGATCTGCAGTTCAGAAACAACCTGAGTCTCATATTTATAACGTCTTTGAGCACCTACAGAAAAACATTCCATGTAAAAATGCTTCTTGGTAATTACCCAACTTTATAAATAAGCCAAATGCAACCTGGTGATAAATCTTTTTGTCATTTCTCAAGATTCAGTAGATATCTCAAACATTTTAAAGTTCTACATGTATCTGCATATTATGGGATGCTGTCAGTTTTTTCAAATAAACATTTGACCTTTTCTAAAACTGTGATTTAGCACATGATATTCTTACTATTCAAAATATTATTTTTTTTCTACTACTGATAGAGTATTTTAAAGAGCAGCTATCTCCATCTTCCAGTGCATGGGTAAGTTATAATATTATTTAAAAGAATGACTTCCGCTCCTCCTAAGCTGTTGTATATTGTAAACACTTGAAAAGAGTAAAGTTCAGAGAATTATTTTAATAATGTCAGCATTTTTAATGAGGAGTTAAACTACAGTATTGACTTCAAAATGTTTCAAAAAGTAAATATGTATAGTTTTTTCCTCAGTTTCCTGATATGTTCATATTAATTTCTAAAGTATTATTTTTGGATGCTTTTATATAGAAATCCTAGAGTTAGGACAGCATTTTGTACTTATTTTTTATAAGCAATATAACTTATTTAAAATTAACAAAATCTTTATTTTTTTAAATGGTCTAAACTACCTTTACCAAGTTACCCTCATTTCTGAGGTTTCTGCCCCAAATCATTTATTTGAAAGCATAAAGCAATTTGGTCTACCTTTATGGTTATTATTAGAATAAATACAATAATAAATTTTTAAAAATGCTATCACTAAGGCTATAATTACATAATGGTAAGTAAACAAGGAATGCAAAAAGTCAATGATCATCTCTACATCTCTGTTAAGATAATGAGGATTTTTCTTTCCCCAGTTAAACCTAAGGTTACACCTATTCCTTACTGTAGTGCGACAGCTTTACATAGCCTTAGAGGCCTGTTCTGCTCCCAGCTTCTCCTCGTCATCCTTTATGACTGTGAAATATTATTACTGTAAAACTATTGAGAAAAAAAATAAAGACTAGGGAGTGACATAAGCATGAGAACAAGTGAAAAAGAAGAAATGAGGACCTCATAAGTCCAACCAAACAGCTCTGTAATCAGTACCTTTTCATACCCTCTAAAAATTTGAGATTAACACATCAATTTAGAATTAATTTTTCAAATTTAATTTCATTTTACAGTATCTGTAAAATTTTACACTGTTTTACAGTGTAAAAAATCTGAATAAATCTTTTTCTAGGCATAATAAGCTTGAGGAAGGTTGATTTCATTTTAGGAATTGTTAATTGTTGTCTGATCTGCACTTGTTAAAGCTTTATATGCCTACCCCATCCATACCTTCACATCCCAAAAGCATTAGTTCATAATATTAAAACAAAATTAAGCAGTAAATAGTGAGAAGATTTTTTTTTGTGAGGGACCTGAGCAAGAGGAAAATGAAAATTTTAAGCCTAAATGCAAACTAGCTGGAAAGCAGGTTTTCTGAAACCTGCTGTGAATATTTGGACTCATATAACACATGATTCAAAACAAGAGCATGTGGACAAAAACAGGAGGAATAAGTATCATTTTAAGCTTGCTATTTCCAAAGATAGAGGAATTTCAATGTTTCCTGATTAACAGCCTAATAAATAAAGCATAGAAAGAGAAAGTATTACCTAGGGTTGGCTACTGACCGCCAAAATAAAAATAAAGGCAAAATAAGCAATACTTGAAGCATCTACCATTCAGAACAAAAAGTACAAATAAAACTTTCCAAGAAGTGCTGTTTCACCTACCAGAACAAGTTCTAAATTTTAACATTAAGGATCACAATTTCTCAAATAAAAATATTACATCCAAAAAGATGCAAACCTATATTAGACTTTAGATTCTGATCCCATTTGTAATAACAATTCCAGTGGTACTCCAGCAATCTGGAATGATATTGTTTGCTGTATGCAGAGTGCAGCCCAAATAATTTATGTATGCCTGGTGATCTAAAAGGGACAATTTAACACACCTGGAAAAAGCTAAATCACAGGGGAGAGCGTTTAATCAGAAACATGAATAAACATTAGTAACTGCACAAGATTGCTTTATGAGATACTCAAACCAATGATGTCCAATCACTGAGAAGAAGCAAGCACTGACTTGAAAGAATCTAAGAAGAAAAATTGTCATTTAGAAAGGAAGTGAGGCAACTGTAAAAAATAAGACAACCGTAACAAACTGTGGGAAATTGGTAAGAAAAGTAAAATATACAGGCAGTACAAGTCATGAATTTTTTTTAAATACATTGTAAGCAAAAAGCATCTAAGAAAATGGTATTTATTATTCGATGGAAGTAATGAGGATGAAAGGCCAGTATATTCAGTAAATCTTTATACACTAGTTTTGAGAAAAGGACAATTAAGAGAGGGAATGAAACAGTTTTTAAGCCAACAATAACCTTGAGTAGATGCTAAAAAACAGCTAATAAGTTTAGAAGACAGTGCAAGATAGAAATGCAAAGCACAATGATTAAGTGAAAAGTTCTGTTCTTTTTCAACAAGTCATAGAATGTAGCTAGATACACAAAAAATACCAAAAGGCTCTGCTTTCAGAAGGATCCCCAAGGACAGTTTTATAGCTATCAAGAGATTTTTTTTTTTTAATGGAGAGAATATATGATGTTAAGATGCCAAAAGATTATCATAAATGATAAATAATGAAGGAGGCAGCACAAACATTTAAAACAACTTGGTGCATAATATTACTTTGCACAACCAACTTGTACGCATTTAATTTTGGCCAAATAAAAAGTCACACATCCACACACCAGACAGATCCTCTGCCAAGAAATGATGTTGAAAAAGATTAAGTTATCATCACAGATATTAGCTGATCATGAAAATTTAGTTTCACAGGAACTGAAATAGGAAATCCCTAAAAGATTACAAGAACATATTATCTCTGTGTGGCAGCACAAGTATTTCTGGGATACAGAATCCAGTTCTGTTACTTAGAGCCTATGAGGACATCAAAAGCCAGTGAATATTCGAAGATAACATATGAAAATGGTCACAGGAAGGCAAAGCTGTTTCTACAGTCAGCTATTCCAAGCGCTCAGTTTACTTACTTCAATGAAGAAAATGTTAAGGGGAGACTGGGAGGTTTGTTCAGGAGGTATTTCATACTATCACAAATGACTGAGGTATTTCAGTTTATATGGCATGAAAGTGATTTAAACCCAAGGTTCAGCCTGTGTATGCAAAGACTCAGCAGAATGAGTACTGTTAGTTACCCTTCCTCATCTGAAAAATGACTCACTAAACTCATTAAACCACAGTAATTTAACCAGTCACTGAGGAGAGTGTGACTGCCACTGTAATACAAAGCATAGACTCCGAAAACAAACTTTTATAACTTCAATATAACCAACAAAATGATGTTAAGATGAATGCCTACAGAATGGATCTTAAAAAAATGCAATTAAAAGTCTGTGTTTAACAGTGAATTTAATTAACTGCTGGAAAAATCTTAGTCAGAACTGTGAAGCATATGCAACCACTGTCAATATCTAAATTAGGATTAGATTTAAATCAGTATTTCTACTTCAAATGCATACCGATAGAAAAACGTCCTGTGACCTGTGTTATATTGGGAATCAGACCAGGTTATGAAACAGGGCTCCTTTACAGGTCCCTTCTTTGTTTATAAACAGAATAAGGGGAGGTTTCTCCCTTGAAAACTGAAGGAACAAAGAACAAAAGACAATCTTCAGGAAGAAAGAAAAAGGTTGGGTTTTTTTGTTTGGCAGTATTCAGCAGTGAACTTTGGGACAAAAGTTTTTGAAATAAGGGTTGAAAGTTTTGAAAAAAGGGCAGAAACAGGGGTTATATATTAAGTATTACCAGCCTCTCTCCTTAGCAAGGACATAGAAGAGTTTTTATGCTAAAATCCACTATTCTTTTCTTAAAAACAGATAAAAGCTTTGCCTTTGTTCTAACACATTCATGGCGTCTCTTTTATCTCCCCCAAACCTTCAGCTGCCACCTACTCAACCTAGGCAGTGAGGTTAGCATACAGGTTAGCTAGCACCATATAGTCCTTCTCAATTTCAATCCCATTTAATATGAACAGACTTTTGGCTTTATTTTAAAAAATATTATGAAAAGACTTCTTTGAAGGGATTATTAAATGACACAAAGTAATATGATAGCATGGATTCACCAGGGCAAAAAAAAAAAATAATCACAACGTGGGCACATTCAGCATGGGCTGGGGAAGCGACCATGTTATTTGCCATCGTAGTCACTACACGAACTTTGCATCACAAAGAGTTACCATCGTAATATATGGGCACCAGGACAGTTATGCTGTTCAAAAACGATCCTTTAAATACAAATACACTCCAGCCCTTAAGTTTTCAGTATTTATGGCAGGATGATCCATGAGGCATCCATTTAGGAGCTTTCAGTTCCTGCCCTGGTGGATGGGCCTGCGTGTTTTGTTAAAAATTCTTCTGAGGTCTGTATGCTTGACAGAGGCTGCTCTTTGGATGACCAGGTTTAAATGTGAAGGTTAATTGAATTTGATTAGGAAAAAGAAACAAATTAATTTGAAAAGAGCTTCATTTGCTGTTAAAATATCAGAAATGAAAACATTTCTGATTTGTTTCGTTTCAATAGTATTTCATTATTATCTCTTCAGATTCAGCTTCCTGAACAAGGCTACTGCTCCAATCTGCTGCCCTATTTGATAAATAAACTGAGTACTTCATGGGAATCACTTGCCTGGACCTACATACTGCTCATCAGAGAACCTGCTCTAGAGAGAATGGGGACTTGTGAGCTCAGCTAAAGAGACCTCGAGGAAACTTATCGTAACATGAACTTTTAACTGAATTGAGAGATTTCTCACAATCAAGAGATTTCTCACAATCAAAAGATTTCCATTTGGTAGGAGTCAAATTTTCTTTTTAACTAAGAATGGTGAAATGAAAGATTTGGTTCTGAAGAAAAGCTAGTATTTCAGAATCGTGGAACAAAAGAAATCATTTAAGTAGAAGATTTTTTTCATGAACATTTTAAATGTATTACTTAGCTTAAAGTTTTTACATATGGAGACCAGCTGGATGCCTGAACATTCCATAACAAAGATTAGGAAAGAGTATGAAAATGCAAGTTTTCAGGAAACTTGCACAATTATTGTGAAGAAAGAGATAAAACAAGAAGCAGAAAGAATCAAGATATAGACTTCAAAATTCTAACAGACCAACAAGAGAAGACAAAATTTACATTTTTATGGGAAACTATAAAGCAACTTGAGGTAGAGTGATATTTCACGGCTAGTGAAGAAAGGAAATCACTTTAGCAGCTGTGTTTCTAGGACAGCCTCTCTTTAGATGATCAATAACTACACACAAGGAAAGATTTTTAGATATCCTTGGCACCATTAATCAGCTAAGAAATACCCTTCCATGAGGTGAAAGGTTTATAGTCCAATCTTACGACGGTGTTATGGGCCAGATATAGCCCACCTCATTTAGGTGCTTTGGAAAACTCAGGTGCTTTTGTTTAATGGAAAGAAGTATGCATCCCTTAAGATTTGGAGATGGAAATCCCCTCCCTGTATGTTAGGCAGACAATCTCCCCCTTTCCTTCTGTTGACTATAAAGAACATTTATCCACTCACTTGTAAGAGGATTGGCTCACAGGACTGTAAATTTCACTTGCAAATATGGTGCTTACAACGATGGATTAAATCATCCCAACTTCTTAATACAAACTTACATAAATAAATATATATTTTAAAAGTATATAAATTCTGTTTGCCCCATAAATGCTAGACTACACAGTATATCAAAACATGAAAATAAGTTAAATACAAATTAAACTACAAATATACAAATTAAAAGAAATCACCACCATCTTACAATCAATAAGTGAGCCATCTTCTGTGCTTCTCTTGTCAATGGATCAACAATAGCAATAACATCATAGAATGGTTGATTCTGTTCAGGATCTATTTTTACTACACTGTTAAAAAAATGTTAAGTAAATGACATGAAAACTGTAAAATAAATTTATGGAAATAACAAATATTTTTATGCACAAGTCTGAAGTATCAGAGTCGCTTTAGATTTCATCCTTCGCAAAGACATTTCTCTCATTTAAACCATTTATCATTGTCTCCTCCCGTGATACCACTAGAAATGCCAAAATCAACAGCAATCAAAATGTAGCACTAATTTAGCTCTGTAAGTGTTACTGGTTAAATATGTACTGCATTAATAATTCGGTAACATAAAAAGAAAACACAGAGAAGTATGCAGAATACTTACAGTTTCTTTTACTGATATCTATATTTATAAGTACCAATGATGGCACAATTTTAAGATAATAGTGGGAAAAATGTTAAATGAGAAAAGCAAAACATGATAGGATGAAATAGCTAATTAAAATCATTTTCTTACAGAAAAAAAAAATTAGTAACTTGGTTGAAAGAAGTTAGGACAACCCCGCTTAAAGGAATCTGGATCTACAGGAAGGAAATGGTAGTAAAGCTCAATTTGAAAAAAATCATGTGCTGGAAAATACACCAAGTGAAGCATTTTGCTTTCCAGACATGAAGAAAACATACCTAGAAACATAACTAGCATTAGTGATGCCATTCTTTTGTCAATTAAGCAGTACATGTTACTTACTCCACGTTATTAACATAGCCTTGAAAAAAGGTTTTAGTCACTTAAAGGGGGCTGCTGACTTTGCTCCTTGCCTTCTTAGCAAGCGTTAGAGACAGAGTCAGCACCCTGGCACAGCGCAGGGCAGCTTTGCCAAGAGAAACAAGTAAAGAACTGGAAATACTGTTACAACAAGGGGTTTGGTTTTAAATTTGATCACAATTCTGATACTCTGTCCTTCTAAAAAAAGTACCTTTCCTTGCCCCAGAAAATGATTGAGCTTAGGTGATTGAGCTTATTTATTATAAAATAAATAAATAAAAATCCCCAAAGTTTATGTTCTAATTAAAAATTATAGATGTCAATCTTGGGATGTGGGGTCTCGTTCAATAATCAGAGAAGACATCTGTGGCACACTGACTTTCTAAATCTAGGATCTAGGTAACACAGCAGTGAACATACACAACCATGTTAATGCCATTAATACAATTCTCCAATTGTAAATCTGTCAGCTGAAGAAAGTCTACCCAGTTCTTAATGAATTAGGTGCTGAGAAGTTCTATCACTTTGCATTTGTAAGAAACCCAGCTGTATTTTAGGGTCTAATCTCATCGTATTTAATGGTTATGCTGACCATTTGTGTTGTGGTCAAGAGTGATGAGCTAATCCACTAACTATTATACAGCTATAACAATGTTACACTTGGTAGATTCTAATTTAAATAGCAAAGTATTATATGTGCATTATCATGACAGAGAGGACTTACCTGTGCTGTTCTTTGAGTAATTCCACATCTTGTCTCATCTCTGTTTTAGGCAAAGATGACAGTAGGGCATCTATTTTCATAATCAAATCACTGCCACTATATTAAATGAAGCACACAGAATTTGCTATGTTTTTAATTAGAAAAGGAATAAAGCATTCATATTTTAAAGTATGTCTGTCTACATAATGCAGTTCAAAAATCCAAACCCAAACTGGGACATTTTAAGAAGACTATCACCTCAAGATTTGTAGCTTTGAGTAAAATTTCTAGCATGACTGTGGCCAAGAACCAACTACTGCTTTATACCTTGGGAATTGCATACTTCATAAACTCTCACTTCAAAAATAATACTGAAAGATGACTGATTTCTTAGATGCACTGAATTTAATCAAGTTTGTTATTATTGTTTACTGATTACTGTAATCATTAGGAATTGTAGGTATAGATAACATATATACATACATGTATAACCTTTTCCTCCAAAGAAAATCTGATTTGTTCTTGATTCACACAAACATATCTTAGTGATCTTTGGCTCCATATTAAAAGACCCTTGGAAAGTAACGAATGACCAATAAAGCACCAATAAAGTAAAACTCAGTGCCAAAATCATCTATTTTTGGCTCCACAACATTCTTCTCAAATACATTCAGAGGATCCCTACTGTCACATCTTCAGCCATGTCCGAGTAAAGATCTTCCCCTGGAACAAGGAAAGGTCTACCAACAGAACATTCATGAGAGAGGCTTCCTAAGAGTAGGACATTGAAAATTCAAGTTCTTGGTCTCATCTTTTTAATAAAATTTTCATTTGGAACTCTTATTTCATTTATTGCACTGGATGTCCTGAAGAAAGCAAATATGGAAAAGTATGTATGTGCATACATTACTCAGTGTACACTGAAAAGTATGAATTAAAAAAATATATGGCATTACAGTGAACTACAGCATGTCATCTTGTTTGGAAAAGAAAAACAAAACAATAACAACAACAAAAAATCTCTTGAGAAGACGAAGTAGTCATTCCAAATTCCCAAGACAGTCGTCATCAAAACTCAAAATTTCTCAAGATGACAATATATTAAAAAAAATACAGTGTACAATATTTCCTTTTGCCAGTCACTATAAAGTAATCAAAAACTAGTAGGCACTGACTACAGTTAGATTAACTTGTCTCTTGGCTGCAGCTACGGTGAAGGCAGCTGAAGCATTTGGAGCAATTTAGCAGGGTTTTTTTTTTTTCATTGAAAAGTGGGCACATGTTTGAGTAGGTAAGATGCTAAGTCTAGAAGGGGAACCCTAGAAAGGAAATGAGGGGACAATTAGGACTGCTCACCATTGTAGTACTCAGATGAGAATCACAAGGATAGTGCAGATACAGCACAGAAACAGACACTTTAACTGAGTGCACGCAGAATGTATATCCAAAAAAAGTACTGTAAGTCTTCACAGAATCCCATGATACAGAATCACACAGAATCCCAGAATGGCTGAGGTTGGAAGGGACCTCTAGCGATCATCTAGTCCAACCCTGCTGCACACGCAGGGTCACATGGCACAGGACTACGTCCAAGTGGGTTTGGAAGATCTCCAGGGAAGGAGACTCCACAACCTCTCTGGGCAGCCTGTTCCAGGGCTCTGTCACCCTCACAGGAAAGAAGCTCTTCCTCACATGGAGGTGGAACTTACTGTGTTTCAACTTGCACCCATTACCCCTTAGTCGTGTCACTGGTCACCACCGAGAAGGGTTTGCCCCATCTTCTTTACATTCTCCCCTCAGGTTTTGCTCCATGTTCCACATTCAAAAGGATGATTCATTAGTCACAGGCAAGAAACAAAGCAGTATTTCATGGATTTGTACTCCTTCAAATATTTTACCTTTTAGCACTGATTCCCATCTCTTTGACAATAGTTTTAATCTTCTCTGCTGAGGTGGCATATGTTATTTTTTCCAACAACTGAAAGTCTTCTGCATAGAATTCATTTTCATCTAAAGGACCCAGTATCTGAGAGAGAGAACAAGTGATCTTACTAAACATAGTAATACGATATTCCTTTTGTAAGCAAAAATACACAAAACTTTGCCCTTTTACGCATCTATATTAATAATTACATAATAACTTTATAGTATTGATAATTTGAAAACACTTAGGTTTTTACAGCTTTTTCTGAGGGAGCATCTCTGGATTAGGAAAAAAAAAACAACTCAGTCAAGCACAGAATTCTGTTATAAGGAGCAGTCATAGTGGAAATATCCACAAATATTCAAAGTATTTTTTATTATACATCCCATATAAAGGTCTACACTATTGAAAAATAACAAATTTGAGTTTAGGAAAAATCTTGGTTAGATTTTAAACTGAAGAGTATATAAACTATATTTTAAACTGAAATGCAAGCTACTACCTTCCTAGCAGATGCTTTAGTTGCTTAATCTTGTGAATACAATCTTCACTTCTCAGGTGGAGCAGGAAGGATGGATATTTAGAGAGAGGAGACAGAAGAACTATTATTTCTTTCTTTCTCTCTCTCTCTCTTTTTTTTTTTTTTTAAGCTATCTGGGCCAAAAGAAAATGCCTCAAAGTGCCCCAGAGAGGGCTCTGAAGAGCTTGGTGAGGCTCTCTTCCTAGTCACAGTCTACAAGGCTAAACTGGTCCAGGGCAATTTCAGGGGCCGTCAGGGCTCCAGGAGGTAGAATAACAAAATTTACATTTGTTGCTGACTGGCTACTTCCCACAAATCAATTGCTTCTAAGAAATTAGGTGATTTTACTAAATTCAGCTTTCAATTTTTTATTACTAGCAATGATGCATAAGATAGAGAGAACCATGAAAAAACATGATAATTTTCAAGAGGTAAGACTTAGAAAATCTTTTTGCTAATAATCAGAAAATTTAAATGCTGAAATACCTGTGATTTAAATAAGGCAAATCCTGTGTCTTTCTTAAGTTTTAAAGTGAAACTGAACTTTCATATGGATGAATACACATTACTCAATTTATTCAAGCATTCACAGTATTTCCTCAAAACTTACTACATGATGTTTTATTTATGATCATGCAAAACAGCAATATCCATTAGTTTATAAAATAAATTACATATGTAGTTATGATTTTTTTCCTCACAGAAAAATTAGCACAATCTTTTTTGAACTGTATCAACAATGTGCTTAACTTAGTGGTATCTCAGAAGCCATTTAACAAACACAAGAATAGCTAAGAAAACAAATTTAAGAGACTTTCCAGTAAAGAGATGCTAGAATAGTATCCCTATTTCCTTCTAATGATGGAGCTTCTTGATTCAAGAAGCTGTTTATATAACTTTAACGCTATTGGCTGTGATTAGCAGGGGCTGTATCCTGAACCCTACACTTTATTTTTTAACCACTGGTCAAGCGTCAAGCTATAGCCAGACAGTAATATAAGCTGCCTGTTTTAAAAAATACATACTTGAAATTGAAAGAACAAAAGTACCATATTTTACTTGAATATTAAGATTTAAGATTATATAAGATTTAAATATTTATAAACTATTTGCTCTTTACCTAAAACAGGTAATAACTACTCCTAGTTATTATAATTTATTCTTGAATATATATTAAATAAATTTTGATTTTATATATATATCTGATACCAACCATGTAAAACATTGGTCAGGGTAAAAAATTATTGGTAAATATAACTAATAATGCAATGAGTATGAACCTATTTAGGCGTTTTATCTATTGCCCCATATTATGTCTTAACCAGCTGTAGGAACAAAGTACATAGTAGCTCCAGGGGAATGGAATAAAAATCAAAATAAAAAAAAATACAAACATTTACACTATTCTCTGCTGAAAGCCTGAAAAAGTGAAAGATCAATATAATATATTACCTTTAGCAAGAAAGTGAAGTTCTGGGAAACAGAAATATCTATATGAAGAATGAGACATGATTTATTTCCTTACTTACCCTACCATTGCTGATAACAGCCATTTGCCCAGGAAGCAGTTTAAGAACCTCCTGGCAAAACATCTGGTGTGTTTTAATTATATCCAGTCCTAAAGTGTTGTACTTCTTCTCAAAAGTATCACCATCCATTCCCTGAAGCAAATGTAAAGAATGAGGTGGCAGACTGATTAAGCAAAACCAAATTCTGTAACAGCTGAAGTAAGCAAAGATTTTCTTCAAGCTATGTGGTAATCAAAAACCTAAATAAAGCAGCTTCAGCTTCAATTTAGGTATCTGACTTGTAGTGTGTGCCAGTTTCCCAACTAGCTAGTGTGCACCTTTTACCCTTGAGCACCTGTGAAGAACCACGAGAGTAAAGTTGAGATTGAGCTGAAACATTTTTTCTTAGACTCAGTGCACAGTTGCATTAACCACCCCCGCCAAAAAACTAGGGTATTTACCACTGCCTGCTAGAACTTGAGCTTAAATCTCATCTTTAAGAAAAAGGTGTAAAAAATTAGATTACTCTAAAAAGTAACAGTGACTTTAAAATGTCCATTCGATTCCTTTACTAGAAACTGCCTATGGGTTAAAATGTCCCCTAATTTGATACTTTACAGCATTTAGTCAAACACTGTAAATTTCAACTACATCTTCTTTCAATGAAATAACAACAACAACAAAAACCCTATGAAGTAAGTAGTAGTTTAATTTAGTGTTCACTCACTGGCATGAGAAGCTTAGTAATTTTAGTTCCAGCAGCAAGGGATTTTGCTGTCTCTTCCTTTATGAGTTTACTTAGGAAACCTCTTAGGTTGCTGTTGTTTTGGGTTAAAAAAGCTGTCAAAATTCCTCTTGCAATGGCTGTGTTATCTTCCTTTATTTTTGATGCAGGATTGTTCAAAATCCCCACTCGTGTATGTCTGCTTGTTTTCTGCAAAGAAGAATATAGAATAATACAGTTTCCATGTTCCACCTGCTGTTACCTAATGTATGCTTATTTATTATAACACTGTTGGAAAGGAGTTGCCTGCTCCTTAACATATATTTTAAATGGAATGCTTTTGTGATGGAATGATTACCTCTGAGCATTCTGCAGAAGTATATTTTTAGTAAATGACATGCAGAAGTATACATTTACAAAATTGGTTTTACAGGTTTTTTGTTTTTAAGAAAAATTTAAACAGCATAAAATAAATACAAGAATACTTATTCACATATCATTTTAATCTTAAACAGCAAGAAGCTCTTTAACCACTGATGACTTAAACCTTACTAAAGATGTTGATGAGAAATCTTTATAAAATAATTATTTTAGTAAAAACTGCTAGAAACTTACCAGGTGTTTCAAGGCATTAGAAAGCAGTTTTCTCCCTGCTGGCTTATCAAAATCAGCAACAATCCAGATAGTAACAGCATGTAATATATCTTCATCTGAAAATTGGAAATAATTTTGCATTATATTTCAAATATTTTTTTTCATGAACAATGAATTAATCTTACTTGATAATTAAAGTTTATGTGCAAGTAGCTTTAAGTGTAAAACTAACCTTTGACATATCAATATCTTTTGCCCTTTGATTAGAAAAAATATTTGGTGGTACTTTATCATGTTAATATGAGAACTACTAACATCACTGAACTTCTACTGTTCCACTGAAACATGATAGCTCTAAATAATAACTTATTGTTGGAGATCTTCAAAACATGCCTGGATGTGACCTTATGCCACGTGCTGTAGGTGTCCCTGCTAGAGCAGGGGGGTTGGACTAGATCTCTGGAGGACCCTTCCAATCTTAACCATTCTGTGATTCTGTGAAAAAGAAGGGCTTTATCAGAGGTTCTAGTGCATATTTGATGGAAACTGGTCATATAACCAGATATAAAAACTCTTCGGTAACGAAAATAATGCAGAAGCTAGGCCATTCGCTTTCTCCAACTGCAAAGGGAGACTCTCTGAACCAGAAGCAGTTTAAAACAACATTTTTGGACACAAAGGAATATACCCAGCTATATTCCAAAAGAAGGCAAACTATAGTACAGGTATATATTCAGAAAATTTGTCTTTTTTTTCCTCCTGGTCTATAACCTAATGTTCTCTATCGAAAGGCAATGATACATGAAAAATTACACAAAATGATCTCTAGAAGGATATCAACCTGCTCAGGACTACCATATGCCTCCTGAAAGGTAATATGTGTTGACTGGAAGTTTAGAAGGTTTGGGTGAGATGCTAGGAAGAGATGTGATCATGCTCTGTTGGGGCTGGAAAAACACACTGGGCACACAGACTGGAGTGCACTGCAGCCTCTGGGTACAGATTTTACACAAGAGATCTGCCTCTCAGAAGCATAGAAAGAAATCCAACAAGTATTTGGTAATTAGCTGGTATGTTGCTGAGGTTTTAGAAGGAGAGTCAGAGTCAAATAATTTTATTATAAAGAAATGTAAGTATATAGTACTCCTTTCTGATAAAGGATATATGATATATGATATTCTGATATATGTAATAAATAAGTGTGTTAAAACTATAAAAAGCTGTCATGGAAAGAATAGCACCCTGCTAACAGGTTTATTCCACCCATTGATATGCAGATGTAAATTAGCAGTCACCACATGTCTGCTCGATGTTAAAATGGCACAGACTGATACAAAACTCCGTGCAGTTCTCAAGTGCCATCATGTCCTCAAGTGCGCACTCAGTTCCCTATAATTTAGAAAGGGAAGTATGTGCATATGCAATAAGAACATCTCACATCAAATATTTTTAAAATGTACAAAAAAGCACAATTTTATGTAAGACAAAACACATAAATGAGTACTATATAATTATTTCTCCTTCTCTATAGAAAAACAAACATGAAAAAAATTGAACAGTCTAACTAGAGGAAAAATAAACTGACCTGAACACAAACAAATAAGAAACAAAATCAATTATTCCTCAAACTGTAGATATGCATAATGTGTGTGCACATATATATATACAGATATAGATATTTTATACATACTGAAATTTTCACTTAATGCTGAAAAGTAAGGGTTTTGTGAAAACTGAATATATATCCTCTTTGATATCCTCAAGTAAAATCAGGCCAACTGGTCAAATCCAGTCAAAATACAAGGTGTCCATCTTTTTGCTAACTGATGATAATTGCTTGCTGTATTTAATCTATCATTATGGGTATTGTATTTATAAACTCATGGCCTATCTTTTTGCTTACTTCAGAGTAACTCTTCACACTCATAACCCCAAAATAGTTGCAGGGAGGGCAAATAACACAGGTTAGGAATCACATCTACCTAACAGTTTTAAAACATTCTTTCAGTAAAGAGGTATCAACCTTTGACAATTATGGATATTTCTATACATCCCAATAACTATTAAAATTTTGCTTGGGATATTTTGCTGACAAATTTCAACTATTTGTAATACCAACTCATACACAAAATTAATGTACCTTTTTTTGTTAAATACTTCATGCCATCTGAAATTACAGCAGTCTTGTCTTGTGAGTCCAAAAAGGAGAAAGTAGAGAAGTCTTGCACATCAAAGGGAACTGCAAAATGTAAAACATAACATGTTAATTAGGAATTAAGAAAGGAAAACTTGTAATAACAGTCTATTCAAGAAAAGTAATTACCAGATGTGGATCTGAGATGTATGTATTTTCTTTCTGCTCCAAGAACGGTCGGGTTTATACGAGAAACTACATTGTGCTGTTCCATAAGAAAATCTATTGCATTTACATGATCATTCAACAAACCCTATATTAAAAGAAAAAATACAAATTCTATAATTCATTAGTTTCAAGATTAAAGAGGCCAAATATTCACATACTCTTTTGACGGAGCTTAAAGCCTATATATGTACACACCAAGTTCTGGTCAACTTCAGAGGAAAAATGTATAAACATCTCCCATATAGTATTTCAAAATATTAGATACATATTTTTCAATGAATAACTACAATATATTCTCAGTTTCTGGCTGAAAAACCCCAAATGATTAGCGTATGCTTAATTTTACCTCAAGTCTTGCATAATCAAAATATAATGTTTCAAAATCATGACTGAAAATTAATGTAACAATATAATTTCAGTTGTCATACGATTAATTTTCAACCGTCCCATTATAAAAAAATACAGAATATAAGCATGACGCAAACAATCCACCGCCAAATATTTCATCTTGTATTCGTTTAGAAATGTTAAACATACCATGAAAACTGCCCTCTGGAAGAACCCAGTGGCATCAATAATCCTCTGGAGAATAACTGTCTCTAATTCTGTACCATCCATCTCTTCTCTGTTAAAGGGCACACCATTAAACAGAGCTTGAGGCAATGGACCCAGGCCAGTCTTCTTATAAAAGGTTGCTCCTGCCTGATCATATCAGAAATATCACAGGATTAAATAGACTGTGGCTGACTGAAGTGAGAAATAAATCTAACATCAAGAGACAATGAACTCTCATCTCTAAGTACTATTCATTGTCACACATTCTTATGAGTAGCAGGGACCAAAGAGAGAAAAGTTAGGACATACTGGACTCATTTCTCAAAACGGAAAGACAAAAAAAATGCATAGATCTACATTTAGATTTTTAAACCTTTGCTTTATTATCTTGCCAATAAGTATTCTCTTATTGGGCCTAATATTGGTAACAAAAATTACTAAGCGAATAATGTTGGAGAAGCAGCTTGACACAGTCATGGGTTGAGGCAGACTACCCAGTGACAGTATTCTCCAAAAGACATTTATCCCCCCAAAAAGTCTTCAAAAAGGCTTTTATGTTCAGAAGCCAATGCTTATTTGACAAGAAGCAGAACAGATGGTTACAAACTCTATGCAATATCTATGCATCTCTGAACAAGGTCCATCTTTCTGTCATGCCACTGGCCTATGTCTGCTGTCTCCTTGCTGCTTCTTCACTCCAGTCTTGCAGTCCTACTTGTACAGCCCTCCTCTTGTTGAGTGTCAAGCTATTTCTCTTAATATCTCTTCATTAATATTCTACAGAGGGAGCTTTTCTCCTCTGGGCATGTTCATTTTTTTCCAAGGCAGACACAAACTGCCCTTCCCTCCAGAAGGCTCCATGTGAGCCAGAAAAGAGCAAACAATGCAAGGCAAACACCACCTTTTTTTTCTGTCTGCCCCGACAAAACCTTTCAAAGGAACATAATATACATAACAATTTAAAAGGAAACAAACAAACAAATTGGATGCATGGGTCAGAAACATACACAAGATTCTACAGATGTGCATGGTTTAAGAGAAAGGAATACAGACCTTTTATATATTTTATCAGAAAATTATATACATAATCAACTATGATGATTATGAGTTAAAAAACTCTTCTCTATGTTTGTTAAATGTAATCCATATAGTGGTCTTTCCAAAGTAGGCTATAAACAGAAAGCACAAAGAAAGGACATAATGCTTGCCTAGATGACACAGCTCTGCTCCTCACCCAGAGCGCCTGCAGAGCACCTGGGTGAACAACACCTTAGTTTGAGACACACCCTTTAACAAGCTGATTACTTAAAAAAAAAAAAAAAAAAGCTCCTGAAACCAGTAGGCAATAGATCTCAACATACCTTCCTTCCTTCATCATATTCAGAGTGAACACCTAATATACTCTGAACATCAGCATAGGGGAATTCACGTCCAAGAACATTTTTCACGTGATTTACTGTCAGAACTTTTCCATCTTCCACTTCATGGTACATCTGTAAAAATGTACCACAACAGAAAAAAATCTTTCAACCACACATTAATATCACTTTAATAATTATCACCATCCTACATATATAGTTCTTCATCAGAGTAATGATGAAAAACCTCTGATTAATCTACTCTTTTATCTTTTTTAGCCTAAATCTAAAGTGATAAAGAAAATACATGTAATGTGAGTTGAAAACTTTCCAGAAGCTATTTCTCATCACTGATCGGACAGGGAATCTAACCTTTTAATAAAGACTACTTAACCTTTGTTAGCTGAATCTGTACAAGATGAACCCAAGCCTGAACAAGCCAGCAATACCTTTTCTTACAATGGGGTATGTCCTTACCAAAGCTTTTTTTTTGTTTCATGGCATGAAATTTGATTTATTTCATCTCTCAAACACACAAAAGAAATATGAAATGATAAAATTATTCAATCCATATCTCTTAATTGAGGACAATATAGTAAATTTCTCTCTATAGCTCTGAGACATGTGTTTTGTTTTGTTTTTGTCATCTTTTAAATATATTTATAGCCTCTTCTTTTATATTCTGAAACATCCTAAGTAAACAAGCACATTAAGATTTTTAGAAGAGCATACTGTAGTTTAGTATTCTGTAACCATTTACGGATAACAATCCTGCAGGAGTGACAGAATTTAACACTGTGGATTTCTACTTCTCTTGCAAAGTACTTCTAATTACTCTAATTCTTTTTATCTTAAACTCTGAATTTGTTTAGGACCTTCATCCTTATGCACTGAGAAAAGTAATAGAAAACAAAAGTTGGGGAAAAAAATGTTGTGTATTAACACCATATTAGCCGATACAATTTTGTTTTCAGAGTCTTCACATAAAACACTTGCTTCATTTTCCTCTACTTATCTCTGTCTCTGAATTCCCTATATCTATATGAAGCCCATGCTCTCTCCTACAGAAAAGCAGACTCATTTGTTAATCTGTGAGCCTGGAATACTTCCATGTTTTCTACATCCATGAATAGCTCAAGAACAATGAAAAATGCCCTTATCTTAGTCTGTGCCACTTCCCACACTCCAAAGCAACCAAGGTTTTGCAGAGCTTACAGAATGGCCAGAGCAGTTTTGCAATTCCAGTTCTCCAAGAGATGCAACGGACAAGGGCAGGCACAAACACAAACACAAATGATGCAGAATCACTTTCCCACAAGAAAATACTAACGGCTATAAGATACACTTCTACTTTTTTTTTTTTTTTTTTTACCTTCTTGAGGAAAGACTGTAGATATGAAAAATAACTTGAATAAGTTGTCCTGCAGAGCAGGAAAATCTTTCTGCAAATCATTCTCTAGCAAATTAATGCTATATACTTTTAATACTTTGTTTCCATGTAAAATAAGTGCAAATGCAAGTGCATGTAGATACGAAGCTGCAAAACTGAAGCTATATGGAAAAATAACACATTTTAAAAAAAAGAGGGGGTAGATTTATTGTCAAAGAACTAACATTAATTATTGAGGTAAAGGCTTGAGAGGTGTCAGTCTCCTCTGCGATGTAGTTAAAAGCTCTCCAAAGCGCTATTCCAGCATCTTCATTTCCATCAATTTCTTCTTTTGTACTTAAAATGAAAACAACTCCAATTCTACAAACAAAAAAAAAA